TCCAACTCTTTGCGACCCCATGGACTATACAGTCCATGGAATTCTCCAGGCCAGAATACTGGAGTGGGTAGCCTTTCCCTTCTCCAGGGAAATCTTCTCAACCCAGGGATCGAACCCAAGTCTCCCACATCACAGGTGGATTCTTTACCAGCTGAGCCACAAGGGAAGCCTTTCGTATCTGAAGTTCCATGTTTTACTCCTTTGGAAGGAAAGCTATTATTAGTGATACTGTTATGTTAGTGGAACTTAAATATCTTTTCAGTGATAGAAGAAAATAAATATCTATATAAACCATATGTAAGTTTCTTCTATTATTAGATTGTGTATCTATTTTGTGTACATAGAATGTATATATAGCAGTGATTAAAATAGTAACCTCTTTATATCTATGCATGTGATATATATGTACAGCTCTTTTTGGTAAAGGGTGTTTCATGAATTTTATCTCATTTAGTCATCCCGAGGGACCCACAGGAGAGCTATTTTAATCTCTGTTTAAAGGATCTATTCCCTAAAGTTCCCAGACCCTAGCAGACTTCCCAGTAGGTCAAAGCGAGCACAGATCAGACACTTGATCTTAAACTGGGTCCCCTGAGTCGGTGTACATCACCTTCGTCTATATTGGTTATGTCCCCCAAGTATCTTTCTCTTAAAACTTGTGAAGAATCCCTAACTATGCCATCACACCAAATATGACAGCAGATGGGATTCGGGAGCACTTGTGAGAACGGCCTATGGCTAGGAGACATCATCTTTTTCCTCCAAGACATAAAGCCATAGGTCTACAAAAGAAGGTTACTAATAGAAGCAAACATTTATTTACAGCATCTTCCATGCCTGAACCCTAATCACATGCATCACTTATCACATCACAAGGATATCCCGACATGATTACTTTCATTGGCTCCACATCGCAGAGGCAGAAATCTAGACAGAGCATCTCAGCGCACACCCCAAAGGTCACAGGCCACTGGAACCCAAGGAATCAAGTTTGAAAATCTGTGTGCAGCTTTTTGCCACAACACTCTACGGCTTTCTCCACTTCGTGGGCAGTAAGCCTCAGCTATCCCCCAGTAGGCAGCCAACTCACCCCAACCCAGTGACGAAAACCAGGTCCTCTCACCACACATGTAGTTGACCGGAAAAGATGAACTCCTGGGTCGCAAACGTGAAGAGGGACGTTTCAGAGTAACTGACAGACGCCACCAATGTCCTCAATATTTTATTCATCAGAACCATCACGTATTTTGTTCATCAAAACCACGCGTTCTTACATATAAGAAACAAACCAACCCCAAAGGGGATTAATATTAGCTCATCGCCTGGGTAGAAAAGAGGTTCTGTCCTTTATGGGTGTTCATTCTCATCTTGTTGTATAGATAGATACAGATAGCTATCTATGTATCCATCTGTGTATCACTGGATGTATGTAGGTATCTATCTGTCCATGCATCAATCCATCCATCTACCCAACCTTCCATCTTTCCATCCATCCTTCTATTATCCATCCATCTTTCTATTAACCATCCATCCTTCTATTACCCATCCATCCTTCCATTATCCATCCATCCTTCTATTATCCATCCATCCTTCCATTATCCATCCATCCTTCTATTATCCATCCATCCTCCTATGTGTTATCTATCCATGCTTCTATCTACATGTCACTGTTTCCCAGTAGCTCAGTTGATAAAGAGTCTGCCTGCCAATGCAGGAGACCTGGGTTCAATCCCTGGGTGAGGAAGATCTCCTGGAGAAAGAAATGGCAACCCACTCCAGTATTCTGGCCTGGAGGATCCCGTGGACAGAGGAGGCTGGCGGGCTACAATCCATGGGGTGGCAAGAGCCGGTCACGACGTAGCGACTAAAGAGAAAGAGAGAAAGACAGACCCAACACCATCCAGAAACAGTAACAGGTTTTGTCAGTCTGTTTTTCTACCCAGGTATCTATCTATGTATCTATGTACATGTCATTGCTTCCCAGTACCATGCAGAAACGGTAACATACTTGTCAGTCTCTCTGCCTGCGCATCTTTGTATCTATCTATGTATCTACGGGTATGTATCTATATGTTAATGTATGTATCTGTGACCATGTGTATGTATGCATGTGTATGTATGCATGTATCTCTCTACCTGTCATCGCTTCCCATTACCATCAGTCAGGAAACAGGAACACGTTTGTCGGCCTGACGCCCAGGGAATCGCTCCCACCGCCGGCGCTCTCGCTCTCGCCTAGCCCGGCAGTAAAGGGTTAAAGCTGTTTGCAAATACGGTGACACGTTTTCTATCTCCGAAGGGTGCCCCTAGGAGCCCTGGAAGATCTCACCTTCCCCCCCACCCCAATCCCGGCGCTTTGGGCACTGGGGGCCCGGGGAGACGCGGCTCACCTGTTAACCACCCCCCCAGGCACACCCGGGGAATCTCTCCGTTCCAGCTGGTTTGCAGTGGGATTAGCTGCTCTTTGCAAGCGCCTTGTAGCCGCGGATGTGGTTTCTGTAGTGACGGGGCCGACTGCGGAGATCTATTGGCTGCTGGCTTTGTAAATTTCATTCAGTTTGGTCCAATAGCAGAGGGCGAGCTGGGAGCCATCAGGACATTTCGCTTCAGTCTCTCTTTCTTGCAGCCCGGGTCTCTGTCTCTCCGTACAGAGCGCTTATTCAGACCTCACGTTGCCCTTCCAGCTCCGCCTGCGTCCCCGTTCCTTCCTCCCCATCAGACTATTTACGCCAGAAACACCGAATTTTCCTGCCGACGGCCGGGGTCGGTGGTCCTCGCATTCATTCGGGGGCGGGGGTTGGGGGTGGGGGACGCTGTGCCAGTCTGCTTGGAATTCGACAAAACCCCAGGCGGCTGGACTTAAACACATCCTCCTGAATCATAACCATCGGTCAGGGTTCCCTGGAAAAATCTGGATGTCTAACAAGAACGCTCATAACCGATGCGGCTTCTCCACGGCTGAGGTAGGTGCCGTTTTAAGATATACGTCTCTGGGTTATTTTTCATTTAAAGCCTCTTTTTTTTTTTTTTTAATTTAACGATTGGGCTCGTGTGTGCTTCCCAGCAAAAGATGCTAATAAGCCTGATTGCTAACGTTTGCGCTTCACTACATCCGACATTTAAAAAAATTTTTTTTTTCCTAATTTTGAAAATTCGAGTAGGACTTTCATCTGTCGCTCCATTTCTTAGGTGTGGGTGGGAGTGTGGACATACGTGTCGTCTGCCAGCTCCGTGCATATCTCAACACAAACGTTACATTATTTTCTTTTGACTTAGAAAAATCGCGATATACCACCTTGGGGTTGGAAGCCTTTTGGCTGCAGTCAGCTCTTTGAACGGTGCCGGGGCCGCGTTTTGATGTTTACAAAGTAGCGCTGTGTTACATAGAAATAAACAGAAGAGTGTGGCCGAGAGAGGAAGGGGGAGAAAAAAAAAATATATCTGCAGTACACGGAGAGAAAGACCGAAGCGCCAGTTCCCTGCAAAGCGGGACTGGCGAGGGAGGCTGGAGCACTTATGGAAACTGTGAGCAGCCACGGCCTTTTTTTTTTTTCCCCCCTCCCTCCTTCTTTAAGGAAAACTGTCAGCTGCTACCTCCTGGGGTGCATTTTTTTTTTTTAGGTTAACCAGGGAGAGGGGGAAAAAAAAAAAACAGGAAGCCTACATCTATATTCCTTGAGAAAAAAAGTCAGGAATAAATCCCCTATTTGCCTTGGTTCTCTAATTGGGGACACCCTTCCTACTGTGGTGCAAGGTAGAGAAAACTCAAGTTAAGGGACACTTTTCCTAATTGGAGGAGGAAGAGATTTCCTGGATGATGAAGCAGTTTGAATATATGGAATAGGATCTAGGAAACCAGGGAGCTGCTAGGCTGTTCAAGAGCAGGGCACCACCCCATTAATTCCAGAAGAAAGGAGCATGGAACTGACCTCAGTGGAGGCTCCAGAAGTCACTGGNCCCCCGACCAAGGCATTCCCGCGCGCCTCGGCCTGGTTCCGCCGCCACCTCCAGCGGACGGAACTGGTGGCCAAGATCCGCCGCCTGTTGGTGGGGGGGGCTGGAGATGGGGCGGCGGGGAGGGGGTTACCCGGAGGTGGGTGAGGGGCTGGGAGAGCCTGGCAAAAGCCAGCCCCCTCCCCAAGGCGGCGGCGGCGGGCTACCCCCCCACCCCCGCCCCGGGCCTGCGTGGCCGGACCTGCGGGCGCGCGGGGTGGGGACCTGGGCTGGGGAGGTGTTGATGGTGGTGGTGTGTGTGTGTGTGTGTGTGTGTGTGTGTGTGTGTGTGCGTGCGCCGGTCGGCTGCAGACGGTGCGGGGGGTCGCGAGCTCGAGGAAGGAGGAAAGGCTGAGGTTCCCCGGCCGCACACCGCCCCCGCCGCCAGCCCCCAGCCACGACTGTTGCCTGCCCCCCTCCGGCTCCCCAGGACGCCCGCCGCCTCCTCCCGGCGCGCACGCATCCTCCCGTCTCCCAGACGCGCCCCTCTCCCCCCCACCCCAACCCCGGACCTGGACCCCCCGGCTCTTTTCCTCCCGCCGACAACGCGGGAAGCTCGCTTTCTCCCCTCGGATCCTCCTGGGCGGCCTTCCCGGGTTGCGGGGGGGAGGTTGCATCCCCAGATCCGGGCGCGGGTGCCCCGCGCAGCCCTGGGCCCGGGCGCACCATTCCGGCGCCTCTCTCTCTCTCTCTCTCTCTCTCACACACACACACACATATATCACCCGATCTTCCCCGATTTCGGTGTCCGGCCCCCCACCCCCGCCTACCCCGACCAGCTCACCACCCGCCTCCCACCGGGGGCCCGGCCTGGGGACCACCCTGATAACGGACGTCCGGCCCGGAGGGCGAGGGGCGCTCCGACAACGTCCTCTGCATCTCTCCCGCCCCCCCATTTTCTAAGCGGGTTTTTTTTTTTTTTTTTTGCTGCGGGTTTCCTCTGCTTCGGACTCATTCCTCGGAACCGACCAGCAGGTGTGGGCCTCTTTTTCAATTTTTTTGTATTTTTTTAAAATTTATTTCTGGAGCCACCAGGCAGCTATTTCGGGGATGGCGTGGGGGGAGGGGGCAGCAAGCAGCGTCTTGGGGGGTCCGGGGAGAGGGTGGACCTTCCCCCCCATAACCTGGGGCTGAGGCTGGCATCTCGCGCGCGCGCCGGGTGCGCGCGTAATGAATGAAACCCGGAGCGCGGGCGGGTCCTGGGGCGAGCCCGTCTTTCAGGTGGGCCCAACTTAAGAAATTTGGGGTGAGGGGAGTCAGGGGCGGGGGCCGGGGGTGGGGGAAGAGTATCGAAGCAGGTGCTGTCCTTGCGAGCAGGATCCACAAGGTGGTAGTATGTATTCTTCCTTTCATTTTGATTTGCGTTCTTTTTCTTTTTTCCCTTCTGTTTGGTCAGTGGGGTGAAATAGCTTTCTGTGATATCCTACAGTTTTGGAAAGGGTCCGCTGGCCGGCGCGGTTTCCACCTTCCGAGCACGTTCCCTTTTCCCCATGTCCCAATGCGAGGTGCTGCCGACCTAGCTTCTTTTCTGAGTCAGGCTTGTCCCTTGGTTTGAGGAACAGGACACAGAAGGAGGTGGGCTGGGGGAGAGAGAAAAAGGAAGAAAAAAGTTTCGGGGAGACTTAGTGATCCTCACGGGGCCGAATTTCCAGGCCGTGGAGGTCTCTTGCAGGCCAGACCAGAAGCGCAGGCGTCGGGCACCGTCTGGTGGGCACCTCCTTCCGCTAGAAATGAACCGACCGGGGTGTCGAGACCTGACTTCCCGGCCGAACAAAGCAACCTCAGCTGCTCGGGAGAGCGGCGTGATTCGAATGGAGATGCTTTAGCGATTTTCCTCGGGGCTGACGGAGCCAGGGGAAATGGTTTTGATGGCCCCGAAATCTGCATGTGTGTGTGTGGGGGGGCACATTGTGGGTGGGGTAGGGGGCCGGTTGCAGCCCTCTCATCCGCGTTGGGAAGAGGTTACTAGCCATCTCGAAAGTACTCAGGGTTGGTCCCCGCGTTTGAATGCGGCACAAGCTGTGTTATGTGTGGGAAGACGGGCATTTATGACACATGGTCGCATTCATCCTTTATGTCCAGATTAAAAAAAAGAAAAATTGCATTTTAGAAACGTGCCCCTAAATTAAAAACAGAATCATCTCACAGAGGCCTCTGCAAGTAGCTATATTTCTCCCCCCAAGATGAGAACCTCCGTATTCTAGTACCCAAAGAAATGTAATTGACAGTTTTAAAGAGTATTTTCCTTGACAGGGAAGAAAAAAAAAAAAGAGGGCTAGGACGTAGCAAGTGGAAAATTACTTCATCAGTTTTAAATCAGGATTAAAATGACATGTTAAATTTTTTGGAAACCAGTATGATTTCATTGCATTTTCATAATGACAGCTGTGCAGTGATGCCCTTTGCAAGGTGTTTTGACATGTTTTTCTTTGGTGGAAGAATTGTTACATTCCTTTGTAATTTTTCCCCCCCTTAATCAAAGAATGCTGAATCTGAATGTACATTTAGCCATAAATCCAGCTATCCAGGTAATTTTTTATCCCAGTCTTAAGAATAGATAACGTGCTTGATAAGTGAGGAACTGTTCCATAAGAAGCGTAAAGCGAGTATGATCCTATGAAATTCACAAGTGAATACATGTGCAGAATTGTCAAGTTATTTCTCTGGCCTGGAATGTAGACCAACAGAAAGTATATGGCTGTTTTTCTTTTATTTTTGAACTTGGCCTTTTCATTTTTTTTTTTTCTTTGCAGTAATTTGTGGAAAGCTTCTGGTTTCTGTACAAAGACAAGAGTGTTTCCTGTCTATACACATTTTGTTGCTCTCAGAATGGGCAGGCAACCCTGTAAGAACTCTTTAGAATATTGGGCTTTGATGCCTGGACCACTAAACAAAAACCCAGAGACGGTTCTCACAAAAGTAAATATTCAAGTGCATGGAATCTGGCAGGGGGCTCACCGTTCTTCCGTTTTAATTGGTACTCCAGATTCTCAACCTTTGTTACAGGCTGGGTATTGTCTACGGTGCAACCTGTTGACAGAATTTATGTGAGTCAAATGACCCTGTGAAAATACTTAAAGTCCTTTAAGTGCCCTCACTCTGAAGACAGGCTTCTCTGATGAAAACAGATTTAAATTCCAAACTTGATGACAGTTGATGTTTTTTTTTTTTTTTTGTATGTGAAAGTCAAGGGCAAGGACCAGATTTTTAATATATCAACCACCACTGTATTCTTTCTGTATGTTCCCCATCCTTCACAGTATGCCTTTATTTTCAAATGAGAGGAATATGTTTGGCTTTAAATCAGTTGCTCAATTAAAAAAAAAAAATTCTGGATGCCGTTATCTTTTCAGAAGTGACACTTCATCATCTACTTAAGGACTTTAAAAAATTTCTGAGACAGACTATGCCTTCTAACGTAGCAACAGCTGATTTCTTCAGCGTGTCAGCTACCAGTTTCAAATAAAATATTCAGCTTGTGCGCAGAGATGGGGAGACAGTGAGGCTCTCAAAATTGAGCCCACGTGGTTGTAGGCAATTAGGTCATCTGTTGTGGCCTGTAAACCATTCATGGGCCATTCATGGCATGAATATTTTCCAGTTTTGTCATTTTTTTTTCTTCTCTCTAAACAACCTACATTTGGCCTTTCAAAGCCTCTTCTGTTCTTTGTTCAGTGGATGGCAGGATGGGAAATCCTTCCTCTTTTTTTCTTGGAGAGGGGCAGATTAGCACAAATGAATAAAGGAGAGGGGGGAAAAAGTGGTGGTGGTGGTTGTTTATTTGCTAAGTCGTGACCGACTCCGACCCATCAATTCTCTGGCGCTCAGCCTTCCTCAAGGTTTAGCTCTCACATCCATACATGACCCCTGGAGAAACCATAGCTTTGAGTATATGGACCTTTGTCGGAAAAGGGATGTCTCTGCCTTTTAATGTGGCGCCTAGGTTTGTCATAGATTTCCTTCCAAGGAG